TGACAGTAGGGTGTCACCAAAGCCAACAATTCATTTGGGGAGGAATTCTAAAACAAACCATCCAAATTGCCTCCCATACTTTTTTTATACCATCCTTAGGGAGCAATCCTATGCACAAAAGGCTGGCATAGAGCAAGGCAGTTTAATTGAAGTTGGCATACTGTTACACTAGATCCAAAACCTATTCAGCAGTGGGGCTGCTGCTGTTGTGCAGAAAGCTTTAAAATAGTGTTCTATGTTGTATCACTGGACTATATATATAACCAAGCTGAACAGGCACAGGATCCAACCTAAGTCCCCTCTCTCTTGTCCTGTCCCTGACTGTTGCTAAGTTTGGGGGAGAAGTTCTGTTTGGTGAGGATTTTGATGCAAAGCCTCATCCGCACATTCCAAAACCACATGCTATCTTTTGCAATTTAAACTTCTGTGAGTTCTTCTTCAACCAGTAATAATAATAATAATAATAATAATAATAATAATAATAGTAATAATGTATTACTTATACCCCCAGCCAGTCTGGGCAGCTTCCAACAGGATATTAAAAACACAAGAAAACAGATATTTTCAGAAATGTGTATAGTAGGGATAGTGTGCATAAATATGCCTAAGGGACTGAAAACAACCTAAAATGTACCACATTCATATAAATTGTTTGCCAAAAAAATGTACATATTATGAGAAATTTGCACAACAATCCTGATGCATTTTCCCGAGAACTCGTTTTTTTTTTTGTTGTTGTTGTTTTTTAAAAAGGCAAACTCCTGCAGGAATATCTAGAATAGAAGTTAAGACTTGGGGGGAAAAGAAAGACAGAGACAATGAAATTGATTTATCCATCCCTAGTTGTTGCTATGACAGCTACATCACCCTGCTCCTCCAAACATTTATAGCATGGCATTTTACAGTTTCTGCCCCCAAAAGCTTACAATCTAATATTTGACAACTGACAGCTTCTCTAGCCCAGGTGCTGTCAGACTACATCTCCCATCATACCTAGCCAATGGCTGTACTGGCTAAAGATGATGGGAGTTGTAGTTCGACAGCATCTTGAGCGCACGATCTCAGCTATCCCTGCTTGGTTCACATCTTTCCTGAAGCATCAGCCAACAATTTGCATGACTTAAGATAAGAAGCAGTGCCGGATTTACATATAAGCTAAACAAACTATAGCTTAGGGCCCCACTCTCTTGGGGGCCCCAAAAAATTTAAAGAAAAAAAACCTGGATGTATATTTCCAAAATATAAGATAAAAAAACAAATAAAATAAAACCTACATACAGCTACAGTGTGTTGTGTAGGCTCCTATGATGTAAGTAATAGGCCCCGCCTGCTAACCTGCTCCCTAAAATATCACTGGTTTGCGGATTTCTAAATATAGGGTGCCTACATTCTGCATGGACTGGTTGCATGGCAGCATGGGCAAATGGCTTTAGATACCCATTAGGTCCATAAATTACCATATAGCATATGTTCAACACAAAAAACAGCGACAATTTGTTGTTGACAAAGGACAGCTGGACATATAAAGGGCCCCATTACCCTCAGTAGCTTAGGGCCTCATCAAACCTAAATCCAGCCCTGATAAGAAGCCATATGGTGGCATTAAACTACATTTTACTCAGAGTAGGTGTATTGAAATTAATGGACCTATTTCCAAAGGGTCTACTCTGAGTATAACTTCCCTGAATACCACCCACAACCATATATTTACCAAAAGAGCTATTTCTCATCATAAGTCCCTTTGTTCCCAACTGTCTTTCTCCCTTTTTGCTCTTCTTGAGTAAAGATGTTGCTAATTCATCTCCCTTCAGTGTGATGATTTCTGTGTGATGACAGCAGCCGCCTGGGATCTCTGTTGGTGAGATTATTTTTTTGATTAATTCCCTTCCTCCATTTTTTCCCCTGAGCAATTACCAGCTAAAGTGTCATCCAGATATCAGCACATTTTTATTATTATTTCACCTTGATGGTGGGTGGTTGCAAGAAGCTACACTTTTCTCTGACATTCTAGAATGCAGACAGGTTCCTGTACCTGGATCTGGCCCCAGAAATTTGAGAGTGAGCCTATCTTTCAAAGCCTCCAGTTTGATCCTTGGTTTTGCCATGCCAGCAAGTGGCAGCCCTCCAAGTTATTTGAAAATGGCTATGATCTTCTGTTCTCCAAACCAAACACAACCAACTCTTTCAACCGTTCCTCATAAGGCTTCGTTTTTCCAGTCGTATATGCAGTTATACACAATTTCACACCTGTTTGCCATTTTTTTAAAAAAAAGTTATTGTGAAAATGTGTTAGCATTTTAGTGAGAATTTCTCCTAATATCAACATTCTGATATTTTGCCTGATTTTGTTTAATATACACTATTTTGCAAAACATATTCCCCAACTCGAAACTATTGTTGTATGTTATTTTCACTGTTATAGGAATTTCTGCACACTATTTTTTTAAAAAAAACATTACTTGGCTAGAGAATAGCATTGTAAAATTCAGTGTGAATTTTGATGAGTGGTTGTGTTTCAAATTATGTGTTGTTTTCGAAAGCCCAAATTAGGTGGACTCGCCTATAAATGTGAACTAAATAAAAAATTTAAAAATCCCTGTATGTGATCATGTTTCCACTGAAGATCTGCCACCACTATATACTGATAGCAAACTCAGATCTCCAAGGTAAGATCTTTATATTGCCCAAATGGTACAGGATTGGGAGAATCCCAACTATGCAAAAGTGTCAGACATCAAAAAAAATGCAGGGAGGTTGAACCCCCCCCCCCAAAAAAAAAACCCCTGCCATTACTGGCTGAGTGTGCTCCTAAGCATTGTTGTTTTTTTGAAGAAAAAGCTATTAACTATTGTTATCTGATGCCACTAGTACCTGAAAGTATTATAATGTGAAAGATCAACTTAACCCCATTACCACCACCAAAAATTAAAGTTCAGGTGAAAAGGCAGACTTTGACTGGGGTCTAAGAGACGGTAAAGATGGCAAATGAGATAGTTCTGAAACGTCTAACCCTTGTGTGAAAGAAATGTGCAGAGCTGGATTTACGTATAAGCTAAACAATCTATAGCTTAGGGCCCCACTCTCTTGTGGGGGCCCAAAAAATTTAAAGGAAAAATAACTGGATGTACATTTCCAAAATATAAGATAAAAAACAAATAAAATAAAACCTACATACAGCAACAGTGTGTTGTGCTGTAAGTAATCCAATGATGTAAGTAATGGCCCCTGCCTGCTAGCCTGCTCTCTAAAATATCAATGGTTTGCTCATTTCTGTATATAGGGTACCTACATTCTGCATGGACTGGTTGCATGGCAACATGTGCAAATGGCTTTAGGCTTTATTAGGTCCATAAATTACAATTTAGCATATATTCAACACAAAAAAACAGCAGCAATTTGTTGTTGACAAAGGACAGCTGGACATATAAAGGGCCCCATTACCTTCAGTAGCTTAGGGCCTCATCAAACCTAAATCCAGCCCTGGAGATGTGTATTGTTTGGGGTCTTTTTCTTAGCAAAACCAATGCATTCTGAAAATGCTCAGTGGTTTGGTCATTAGATCCCATAATCTGGGGCTCAGCCCTGCCATTTAGAAGAGGTTCTGGGGCGAGGTGTTGGCAAGCTGTGGTGCAATTTAAATCCCTGCCAGTGGTTTTGGCTTAGCCCGGGGTGGGAAGGAGGACGGAGGCCTAGGGAGAATCCCCAGGTCTTGTGCAAGCGTCACTGAAATGAATAGAGGGTGTGGTGCAGCTGTACTTTGTAGATTGCCACCACCACTGTGGGTAGCGAAACGACACTGAATCTAGGCTTCTAATGCATTCCAGAGAGCTGTATTATCTTTCCAACAAATGGCTGAATCATCTTGTGCACATACAAGTGAGATCTGCGACCGAATGTTGCCATGTGGAGTGTTACTGCCCAGCGTTCCAGCCAGCCAGGCAAAGGGGCCTTTTTTTCTGTTTTAACTGCTCCTCCTGGTTTTTTGGGATACCTTATTAAAATCTTGTTTGTGTCTGTTGTTAGAAATGCATTTTTTCGAAAGATGGAAACCACTCAGGAAGATTTGCCAGAAAAGAAACAACAGAGGAAAAAGCCTTGAACCAGGAGCGGGGAGCTTCCCCCTCCCCATCTGAGGGCCTCATTCCTTTCTATGCAACATTCCGAGGGCCACATGATAGTGGTGGGTGGGGCCAGGAGTAAAAGTGGGTGAGGCAACAAATGCTAATTTACTCGCATGCTGCTTTCTGTCCTCCAGCCAGGAAAGGAAGAAGTGATCACAGTTCAATGGCATGTTTCAACTAGCAGAAGCCCTCAAGGAAGGGGGAAAGTGTTGTGGTTCAAGAGGATGTGTGGTCTGGGAAGAGCCTCAGGGGTCAGGTAGAGATGTCTGGAAAGCACATTAAACCCCTATACCTGAAGTGATGGCCACCAACTCATATGGCTTTAGAATAGGATTAAACAATTGAGGACAAGGTTGTCAATTGGCTATAAGTGTAAAAAAAAAAGAGATGTTGTTGCTCGTGTGAGAGAGAGATATACAGTCAAACCTCGGTTCCCGAATGCCTCCGTTATTGTACGTTTTGGCTCCCAAACTCCGAAAACCCGGAAGTAAATGCTCCAGTTTTTGAGCGTTTTTCAGAACCTTGAGTGCAAGCCAAGCCTTGGTTGTCAAACATTTCGGAAGCCAAAAGGTCTTACGGATTGGATTACATTAGACAACTGAGATTTGATTGTATATATATACCAGAATTGCCTTCTAAAAGGTTCTGCTCCCATAAGGCATATAGAGTTTGAATTTCCAAATAGCCTTAAGCATGCCCAACTCTGTTGCATATAGGCCCATGTCTTTATTGAGCAGGTATGTCAAACGACGTATGTGCACAAAATCTAAGCTTACTGCTGAGTAAGGGTGAACGAATCTGTCAATTTCATCCCCCCCCCTTTGCATTTTCCTAATTTTAAATTCAGGCCTATCTTTCCACAGAAATTTGTGATTTAAGGGTATTGTGGCTGAGTGGTCTAAGGTGCTGGCTTAAGGCTCCAGTCTCTTCTCAGGTATGGGTTCGAATCCCACCACTGCCATCGGGTTACTTTTCATTCTCAAATATTCCCAGATAATGTAAGTGAAAGAGATCATGGAAAACTTTCCCAAACCTTCAGAAATTTGTGTTTTTAAAAATAAAAAAAGCTTCATGAAAATTCATCAGCATTTTCTTGCAAATTTCTCCCACTGAATGCATGACGTTTCCACCAATATACACATTTTTTTCCAAGTAATCTTCCCTAATATAATGTATATCTGTGTTTTATTTTCACTACATATGGATGCATTCTTATGCTCACTTTCCCCTAGCACATTCTTTTGTGTAGACAGTTGGTTGGAGAACTGCATCACAAAATTCAGAGAAATGTCATTTATTTATTTGTTTATTTAGCATTCCACTATATGTAAGATAAAAACACAAAAATAAGAAAGAGGCAGACATATATATACTAAATCAATTGTGTCTTGAATTGTTATGTGTCAGGGAACTGCCATCGGCTCAGGGGTGAGAGGGGGAAAGCCGGATGGATTACGGAGATCCCCCAAAGACTGTGGGAAGCAGCACTTCCTCAGCGGAGGAAGGAAGCCACGCCTCTAGCAGGGAGGAGATGCAGGGTCCGGAGGATTCGAGGCGGTGCCAGGACACCTTGCCTGAGCAAAGCGGGGAGGAGGGAGGCCCCCCCTTTACCCAAGCCTTCCTTGCGCAGTAGGCTTTTGCGCAGAGAGGGGAGGCGTAGTCTGGGGGTCAAGAAACTACTCTGCTGGAGAAGGTTAAGGACCTCCCACTCTCAGATTCTGCTAGTGATTGAGCAAGACATGGAATAGAGGTGCTCTGCCTCTGTAAAGGTTTTAGCACCAATAATAAAGCTTTTGAAAAGACCAGTGAGGCATCTTCCCTGATCGCTCTCGAGCAACCACCCGATAGCCATAACAGCATGCTTTAAAACAACCCTCTGTCCCAGTTGGAACATTTAAAGCATGAAATAACTCACCTTGGGTATCTTTCTCCAACATGTACAAATCCCAGGGGGTTACAGTTTAAGATTTTGACACCTTCTTTCAAGGTTGCTTTGACACTGATGAATAAGTTCTTATCTTGTAGAACTAAAATAGGTTTGCTAGCCTTAATATAGCACAGAGTTTTGCCTTCCAAAACTGGGGAGTTCTGTAGCATTTTATAAAGTCTCCTTTGGACAAAATGTTCAGGAACAAATCTAGAGATATAACAACATGGTGAAAAGTAATCAACATAAGAAAACAACAACAAAAGCACTTGTTGATTGTTACTCTGGCCTTTTCTTTTCTGCAGCTATAGTGAGAGTCAAGCTGCCCTCTTTTATTTTATTTTTACCTCATTGTTCTGTTTCTGTTTGGAATTGAACACACACACAAAGAAGCACAATCATGTGAATCAACAACAAGTAGCATTATGGACATCTGGAAAATCAGGTGTGTGCTCCATCTCATGAATGTCGGGGTGACTTGCAAGATGTTGCTAGAATCCATCTCCCGTCAGTCCCAAAACACACGGCCAATCTTCAAGGATGATAGGAGCCGCAGGACTGCATTGACTACCCCAGGTTATGGCATTCATTAGCATCATCTCCAACATTTACTAGTTGCTCCTATTTATATTTGATGCCAACTTGCAGGGGTCAGGTGACAACAAAAAAGAAATTTATAAAAACTCTCTTTAAGACTGGTACTCAGAGTTTGCTGTGAAAATTATTAATAGCCTTACAGTGGTACCTTGGTTCTCAAATGACTTGGTACTCAAACAACTTGGAACCCAAACACTACAAACCCGGAAGTAAGTGTTCCGGTTTGTGAACTTTTTTTGGAAGCCGAACATGCTCTGTTTTTAGTGCTATGCTTCCGATTTGAGTGTTATGCTGAGGTCTGTCTGTTCTTGCTGTTTATTTTGCATTTTGGTGGCTCTTCTTTGTTTTGTTTTTGTGACTGTGTGGAACCCAGTTCAGCTGCTGATTGATTGATTGATTGTGTAACTGCGGTACATTGTTTATTGCTTTCATTTTTTAGATCAATTGTCTCATTAGATAGTGAAATTCATGTTAAATTGCTGTTTTAGGGGTTGTTTTTAAAAGTCTGGAACGGATTAATCCATTTTGCATTACTTTCTGTGGGAAAGCGTGCCTGTCAGCATTGCCCTTGAGCCAGTGTCACCAGCTGGACTCATCCACTCAGCCCCGACTGGGCTAGGCGAGCTGGGTAGCACTTCCAGAGACCACCTTCTGCACAGGAACAGGTCAAAGTGCTGTGGACTCACAGCTTAGAGTTGTGAGCACCGGATTCACTTCCACAAGAAGACAGTCGTCTCACAGCAGAGTATAGCAGAGCATAAACGACTCGGAGAGCAGCTCTGTAGAATATCTTCTTTATTCTATCTACAACTATAATACACAACTATATACAGAGCTAAATGAGGTCTAAACTGAAAAATGCTGAACTGCACTGAGTGTCTGCAGCTGCTCTTAGCAGCAACCTTATCTATACACACTATCTCTCTCTAACACTCAGTCTCTCTCTCACCGACACTATGATGTGAGACTGGATCGGAATAAGTAGAGAGCAGAAACCGCCCCTCCTCTCTGAAGAATCAGCAGAGAACATCACCAGATTCTTGGATCTGGGAGGGGTGAAATCTCCTCAGTGTCTTGGTTTTGGAATGCTTTGGTTTTGGAACAGACTTTTGGAATGGATTAAGTTTGAGAACCAAGGTACCACTGTAGTAGTAACAGTATTGATTATACCTCCTCTTTCTTCTAACAGGGTCCCAGGATGTCTAACTGTTTGGGTTTTCTTTAAGCTACCTTAAAACAAAGCTAAAGGCATCAGACAAAGGAAAATACACCATATATAAGGCAACTTGCCAGTCAGAGATAGATTACGTATTAGCCTTTAAGGTGCCACAGGAAGAAAGGAACACAGGAAGCTGCCTTATACCAAATCAGAACTTTGGTCCATCTTGCTCAATATTGTCTACACTGTAGATTGACATTATATCACAAAATAATTATTGGAAATGTTAAAACAACAGCTGTGCATTCTTTACAACCACAGGCAATTCAGCACAGAGGAAAGAAAATGCTAACCGTTGGACCCCAGAAAATTATTGCAGATAAGGAGCATAGGAACCCAAGGGTAGAGGGGAACGTGGTGAGCAAACCACCCAAAGGGCCAGATATAGAAGCTTGAAAGGCTGAATTTGGCCCCCATGACTGTGATTCCACATCCATATTCCAGTCACTAGGGTATTGGGGAAAGTGGGGGAGAAGGGGACTCTGAAATTATACACACACCCTCCTAAAAGGCAATTCTTAGAAGTGCTGGAGTTATCAGAGTGTGGAGTGCAGGACCCTGGAAGCCTAATCTTCCTTGTTTAGTCTCGGCAAATGTGCAGCCGGAAAACATTGCCATCCTGTTTTTCAGGTGGCAGCAGGCAAACAAGAATGAAGGAAAATACCGCAGCCCTCTGACAGACTGTGATTAATTTCCATTGTGCCTGACTTTTCCCCACGCTTTTCTGGAAGGGCGCTGCTCTTGCCTGAATCTCCCAGGTTCCCTTCAGTGCCCTTGAACCGAGGGAAGCTTCTGATAAGCGACTGCTGTGGACCCTTTTGCACCCATCAAAATGGCAGCTTCTTTGCATAGGTTTTTTTTTTTAACTACAGTAGGTATAGCCTGCTATGCATCCTCTAGCTGCTGAATGGCTAATTGCCATTAACAGCCATATCAGGCACACCAACACTAGTGGGCAGAGGTGTCATCAGCCCTCACAATATTCCTTAGCAGGGGGCTCAGCCCTCCCATTATAGAGGGGACAGAGGAGGCTGAACCATTGAGCTGAGCGCAGCACAACATCATTGTCATGCTCCTCCTAAGTGGGGAAGAGGAGGAACCGTGGTCATAGAAGCTGCATGGGCACAGTTTCCTCTCTCCTGAGGCATGTGTAATGCCGGTCATGCACATGTCACAGGCGTGCAATACATGACACCCATGTGACATCATAGGTGTGTGACATGAAACTGTGCCCCCTCCCAAATATTTGGCCCAAAGCAGTGCCTCCTGGCCTTACCCTCCACAAATTTATCGAATCCTCTTTTACGGTCATACAAGTGGTTGGCTGTTACTGCAACTAAGCAAGTTCCTTAGTTAAACTTTGTGCTGTGTGAAGAATGTCTATCTTACCTGTCCTGAATCTTCCAACATTCAGCTACTTTGAATATGCACGAGTTCTAGTGCATAGGACAGAGGAAGAAAAGCTTTTCTTTATCCACTTTCTCAATGCCCCCTTGTATAAATTTATATCGCGTCACCTCTTCTCTAATCTAAAAAGTCCCAAATGTGGGAAGGGGATTTGCCCCATTCTTATGGTCATTCTGGTTACCCTCCTCTCAGCCTTTTTCAACTGTGCAATGACCTTTTTAAGGTGAGGCGATCAGAAGTCTAGTATCCCAAACACAGCCACACCATAGATTTGCATAACGGCCTAGCGATATCAGCAGTTTTATTATCAATTCCTTTCCGAATGAAAGTAGGGAAATGCCGCAAGCAAAATATTTGCGTTGCACAGGAAAGCGCCAAATTCCTCACATGGCTTTGTCATTGTGTCACTGTCCGAGATCTGGCCCCTCCGTGACTCAAGCTGGTGATAGGAAGAAGGGAGGCATAGTGTTAGCTCAGCTGATTATATCAAAGCCCTTGAACCGCGGGCTGCACAGTGCAAAGACCACCTCCAGGCAAAGGAAACAGAAGGGCATTTTGTTATTCTCCTTTGAAGGAACTGTTCCTATGCAGTCAAGTAAATACTGCACCCCCCCTTCCTAGATCTCACATTTGAAGTGGGAGTGCAAGAGATCTTTGGGATTTTCCCATGTGATATTCAGACTTTTCTTTCCATTTCCACCATCCTCCCTCGTGTCGGCATATCAGGACAGATCATAGAAGGGGGCAAGATGACCTGTTCCAGATTTCTGTCCATTTCCCATGCTGGAAAGTCACGTTAGTTCATTGCCACAAAAACAATGAAGAGTCTTGTGGCACCTTTAAGACTGGCCAATTTATGATGCAAACTGAGCAGGTAGAATTGCTGGTAGTGTTTAAAAACTCAAAAGGGATTAAATGGTTTTGCTGGTTGTTGTGCTAAAATAATATTACACACACATTCATTCTGGGGGATGTATTGGGTATTAGGGGAGGGATAGTACCTCTAGTGGGGGACACGCCATGCCCCTTCTGGGGTAGTTTGCCAACCTTTCAGTGGATTACTGTATTTTAGTATTTTGTTGGAAGCCGCCCAGAGTGGGTGGGGAAGCCCAGCCAGATGGGTGGGGTATAAATAATAAATTGTTGTTGTTGTTGTTGTTGCAACTAGATCAGGCATAGTCAAACTTGGCCCTCCAGATGTTTTGGGACTACAACTCCCATCATCCCTAGCTAACAGGACCAGTGGTCGGGGATTATGGGAATTGTAGTCCCAAAACATCTGGAGGGCTGAGTGTGCCTATGCCTGAACTAGATGTCACCTGTGGCTCCTAGAAGCTGTCAGCATTGGGCAGCAGCCACACCTCAGGAAACAGCTTTGACTGGCAGACTAAGGCTGTTGAGGGTAGCCAATGAATCTCAAACCCTCAGTGAGTTAGCAACTTCTCCTGCATGCAAAGACAGGCTCCAGAGGATTGAGTGGATGAGACCAATAGTGGGTCCATCAGTCAAGAAAGTCCATGTGCTGAAGAGGGAAGTGAGGGGCAGATGGGGCTCCTCAACCTGAGAAGGTAGCCCATCTAGGAGAAGGAAAACTCTGATCCTAAACCTGTCCTGCTTTGTAAGCTATCTTTGGGAGAAGAAACAACTAATGAGTAAACCCTATACAAATTCAGAGTGGAGTCCCTGAATTGGTTGGGTGGCGCCTTGTATACCTATTCCTGGCGACTCCTACAGCCAAGTGGTGCCAAATGTATTACTCTGTTTTGCTTTGGACCGCACCAGTAATAGACGATAGACACATTAACATTAATATATGACTAAATTAACATTGTCCTTCTGCATCTGTGCCATGAATACATTTTTGCAGCTTCCAAGACGGCCCAATACAAGTTCACATTACTGTCAGTCAAGCATTGTTCAATATTTGAATAACTAAGCAATCCACTCAATGAAAGACAAATTACCCATCAATTCAAATTGCGCTTAGTTAACTAGGCCAAAATGAAAACAGATATGTACCCAACCTACTAGGAATGCATTCCAAACAAATTCTATATATGCTGCACACACAAAGTAACAGTAGATGTTCTGTTCCAGTTATGAAGTAACCAGTTCAATTACTGGATATGCTAACAGAGAAACTGATCAAACCAAAGTTCAAAGTTTATATACACCTTCACCTTGGAATCACCAGGGACACACCTCCCCTCGGAGCATGCAGTTTGCATCCTCTGCCCACGTGCTAAGACCTGGAGACAGGTGGAGGTGTTGCCGCAGGAACAATTAGATCAGCCCTGGTGTAGAGGCTAATAGGAAAAAGCAAGAGGTTTGCCAGGCAGATCAAAGAGAACTCCACTGCAAGATGCCAATAGGAACAAAGCACAGTCACAGAATGGAAAGGTGGGTATGATACTAAGAAGAAAAGTGGGTGGGGCATTAAGTAAAGTAAGTGCCTACTGCTAAGTCAGGCAGCTGCTCCTCCTTCCTACCCTGTACTCATCAGATAACATCATTTCTAAGGAAGTTGACTTTAGCCCTTTCGATGCATTAAAGCGCAGTAGTGGATATACTGGTTGGCATGGAGGCATAGCTGTCAACTTTTCTTGTAAGGAATCCTATTCGGAATAAGGGAATTTCCCTTTAAAAAAAGGAAAACGTGGACAGCTATGCATGGAGGTTAGATGGGAATGAGAACCACCAAAAGTGAAAGCGACTTGCCTGGGACTATGGGAAGAAAACAACAACTGCAATGGACAGTTGTTGTTTTCTTTCCACAATCCCAGGCATGTGGCTTTCACTTTTGGTGTCTCTCATTTCCATCTGGCTTCCATGCCAACCAAGTGGATTCCTTCATCATCTGTCTAGAGCTTTGTTGCTAAACAGAAGATCCAGGATCCCTGATAGGTTGGATGATAACAAGGTACACCACCTCGCTGCATTGTTACAACAGCTTCAATGCTACACTCAAAGCTGTAATCCATAGCAGACGCTGGTGATACATGTTTAAAGCCACTAGCTTCACCGTCAAAACCTAGGCAGAGGGCCTTCTCGGTAGTGGCGCCTGACATTCAGAAGACATCTTAAGGCAGCCCTGTTCAGGGAAGTTTTTAATGTGTGATATTTTAGTGTTTTTTGGTCTCTATGGAAGCCACCCAGAGTGGCTGGGGAAACCCAGCCAGATGGGCGGGGTACAAATAATAAATTATTATTATTATTATTATTATTATTATTATTATTATTATTATCTTCACAGTCATAAGGTTTAGAACAGGGGTCAGCAAACGTTTTAAGCAGGGGGCCAGTCCACTGCCCCTCAGACCTTGTGGGGGGCCAGACTATATTTTTTTGGGGGGGGGATGCAAGAGCACCACGAGCCCCAGTGGCTGCTTACCTGTGTATTGTGAGTGGCAGGGGCTGGCGGCGGCAGCACAATGAGCGGCGTGCGAAAGGGCACCGGAGAGGAGCTGCTTAAAATGGCAGCTGCCTGAGCACTGCTGCTGCTGGCACCAACAAAGCCCAGCCCCCTCCCTCCTCTAGACAGGGCAGGGAGAAGTCAGGAGGAGGGAGGGAGGAGGTGCCGCCGCCGCTGTGTGAGGGAGAGGGAGGGAGAGAGAAAAAATGTGCATGGTGACGATCCATGTGGCGATTCCTGGACCCCCCGCGGGCTGGATCCAGAAGGCAATTGGGCCTGATCCCGCCCATGGGCCTTAGTTTGCCAACCCATGGTTTAGAAACAGCCCCCTTTGTCTCCTCCTTTTTCTAAAAATAAAAATAAAAGCCGAGGTTCTCACAACTCTGATTTTTTTCTTAATTCAGTGCCCAATCCCATATGTTTTCTATACTTGGAAACAACATACCGTATATTTGGATAGAATCAACAAATACTCCACAGCCCTGGGATTCACACTGCATGAACAGCCTCCAGCATTTCTTTGGCATCGTTCCCCTGAAGTAGTAGCTAGACTTGTTAGCAAATGAGTTCTGATAACATCAATACCAGTGTCACGTGGCCCTCAGCCCAAAATGTTGCATCTATTTTAGCAGCACCACTTTGCCCAGACTTGCATTCTCTGCTACAGAAGCCAAAGCAACCAATTCACAATACAAAAATGTTGCAAGTGACCAGCTTCTTAGAAAGATGGGGGGGGCATATTTATAGGCATATTTCTTGCATGTTAGGCAATTTCGTGCCTGAATAAGAAACTACAACTCAGGAATGGGAAACCTGTGACCCTCCAGAAATTGTTTGACTCCGACTCCCATCAGTCCCAGCCAACGTGGTCTATGTTCAGGGATGATGGGAGTTGTAGTCCATCTGGAGGGCATCAGCTTCCTCATCCCTGCTATAACCTCTGGATCTTAAAGTTTCCTATTTGCCAGAAGCAGCTAGAATCTTTGTGTGGCTCTCCTTGTGGTCAACAACTGAACCAGAAGGCGGAGAGCGCTAGTGCTCAGATTTTGCTTGCAGGTTCCCCATAAGAATCTGGTTGGCCACTGTGGGAACAGGATGCTGAACTAGATGGGCCTTTGGCCTGATCCATCAGACTCTTCTTATGTTCACAAGACTTTCCCCAAAGAATGCTGGGAATGGCAGTTTTTTAAGGGGACTGGGAATTGTCTCTCTGTGATGAGGAAACTACAGTTCCTAGGATCCTTTGGGTGAAGTAGTGTACCTTATTTGGAAGTCCTTTAAATGTATAGTTGCAGGGATGCAGGTGGCGCTGTGGTGTAAACCACTGAGCCTTGGGCTTGCCAGTTGGAAGGTCGGTGGTTCGAATCCCCGCGACGGGGTGAGCTCCCGTTGTTCAGTCCCTATTCCTGTCAACCTAGCAGTTCGAAAGCACATCAAAGTGCAAGTGGATAAATAGGTACCGCTCCGGCGGGAAGGTAAACGGCATTTCCGTGCACTGCTCTGGTTTGCCAGAAACGGCTTAGTCATGCTGTCACCTAAATTTATCTTTAAAGATGAACAAGGAAGACTTGTAGCAATTGAAATCCAATTACAAGGAGATAAGTTTTTGGTGATAGGTATCTATGCACCAAATGAAGGGAAATCGGAATTCTTTAAAAAGCTACATGAAATCTTGATGGGCTATCTGGATTATAATATGATTTTGATGGGAGACATGAATGGTGTTGTATCTACGAATATGGATAAGGCGCAAAGACAAACAATCACCAAGGATGGAAGACTACCAAAAACATTTTTTGACATGACTGAAAATTTGGACTTAATTGACACTTGGAGAATGAAGAACCCCCTGGGAAGAGAGGGAACTTTCTTCTCGGAGGCAAAAATGACATGGACAAGAATTGACCAAATCTGGGTAACTAGAGGACTGGCTCTAAAGATCAATAAGGTTGAAATTTGCCCAAAGACCAGCTCTGATCACAATGCTGTGAAGATGGAAATGAAATTAATGCCAACTGGTTCCTTCAGATGGAGGATGAATGACTCTTTGTTTAGGAATGATGAATTTATTAAAAAGGCCCAAATTTACTCAGAACAAAAGGCTAAATTAATTGTGAATAACGTAGTGACGGAAGAATTTAAGATTGAGAAAGGAACACGACAAGGTTGCCCAATCTCTCCATTGCTTTTTATTTTGGTCCTGGAGGTGCTGTTAAATATGATTAGAAGGGACCAATTGGTTAAAGGTATACAAGTGGGAGCTAAACAGTACAAACTGAAAGCATTTGCAGATGATTTAGTATTGACTTTACAGGAGCCAGAATCAAGTACGAAAAGAGTATTAGAATTGATTCAAGAATTTGGTCAGGTAGCAGGTTTTAAGTTGAATAAGACGAAAACTAAAGTTTTGGAGAAAAATCTAAATGAGATTGAGAGAGAGAAGTTCCAGAAGGAGACAGGTCTGACATTGGTTAAGAAAGTGAAATATTTAGGGGTTAATATGACTGCTAAGAATGTGAATTTATTTAAGGATAATTATGAAAAATGTTGGACTGAAGTGAAAAAAGATTTAGAAATATGGTCAAATTTGAAGCTATCGCTGCTAGGCCGAATTGCTGTGATAAAAATGAATGTATTGCCAATAATGTTATTTTTGTTTCAAACACTGCAAATTTTGGACAAAATGGACTGTTTCAAGAAGTGGCAGAGAGATATCTCCAGATTTGTCTGGCAGGGCAAGAAGCCTCGTATAAAATTTAAGATATTAACCGATGCTAAAGAAAGAGGTGGATTTGCCCTGCCAGACTTAAAACTCTATTATGAATCAGCCGCTTTTTGTTAGCTGAGAGAATGGATGCTTCTTGAAAACACGGATGTTTTGGATTTGGAAGGTTTCAATAATGTATTTGTTTGGCATGCATATTTGTGGTATGATAAGGTCAAAGCACACAAAGCGTTTAAAAACCATATTGTAAGAAAAGCACTGTTTAATGTCTGGATAAGATATAAGGATTTGTTAGAAAATAAAACCCCAAGATGGCTGTCACCAATGGAAGCAAATGCTTTGAAAAAACTCAATATGGAGGCCAAATGGCCGAAGTATTGGGAAATTTTAGAACAAGAGGGTGACAGATTAAAGCTACAGAGCTTTGAAAAATTAAAAAACAGATTACGAGATTGGCTCCATTATTATCAAATAATGGAGGCATATAATTTGGATTAAAAACTAGGTTTTCAGGTGGAAAAATCAAAGCTGGAAACAGAATTGCTAGACTCTAAAGTTAAGAATTTGTCAAGAATGTATAACTTGCTGTTGAAATGGAATACCCAAGATGAAATGGTGAAATCTGCTATGATTAAATGGGCACAAGATGTTGGACATAATATTATGATGGCTGACTGGGAACAGTTATGGACCACTGGTATGAAGTTTACGGCATGTAATGCCTTAAAAGAGAATTTAATGAAAAGGATTTACAGGTGGTACATAACACCAGTCAAGCTTGCAAAAATTTATCATTTGCCCGATAATAAATGTTGGAAATGTAATGAAACTGAAGGTACATTCTTTCACCTTTGGTGGACGTGCCCAAAGATTAAGGCATTCTGGGAGATGATCTATAATGAAATGAAAAAGGTATTTAAATATACCTTTCTAAAGAAACCAGAGGCCTTTCTCCTGGGCATGGTAGGCCAATTGGTGCCAAAGAAGGATGGAGTTTTTTTCATGTATGCCACAACAGCAGCAAGAATACTTATCACAAAGCACTGGAAAGCACAAGATCTACCTACCAGGGAAGAATGGCAGATGAAGCTGATGGACTACATGGAGTTGGCGGAAATGACTGGCAGAATTCGAGACCAGGGAGAAGAGTCGGTGGAAGAAGATTGGAAAAAATTTAAAGTTTATTTACAGAAATATTGTAAAATTCATGAATGTTAGAAGGATGCTGGAATGAAGTTATATGGCCTTAACAGAAATGTTATAAAGAATTAAGTAAAAATAGATTGTTAACGGGTCAAAGTGGAAATTTAAGGTTAGATTGTGTTAAGATAAATTATAGAACAAAAATTAAGAAAGATGGAAAGGATTTGCTGAAATAGCCAACTGAACAAGAATACAAAAAAGGGAGGTGTGAGGAGGTCGATGACACAAGTAAATGAAAGGTAGAGATATAGAGATATTGGATGTGTTTTTTAAATGTTTTTGCTTTTTTGTTGTTCTGTTGTATTTTTTTGTTTTTTTTCTTTATTTTTGATGTATTTGATTTTCTGTTGTATTGTTTTTTTTCTTTATTTTTGATGTATTGTGAACTTTTTATTGTTTCTTCTTTTTTCTGTAACTATTAAACTTTTAATAAATATCTTTTTTAAAAAAATATGAATGTAGGTAAGAAGGCTGGCAGGTAAAGGC